TACCTTACTTTCCTCAAGAGATTTTAATTTCCTTCTCCTTCCTGGAAAGTTCTGTATAAATGACCATTTTATTCATTGTATTCTCTTTGACTAGAAAGATATATATTACAATATATGGCAACATGGATAATTATGTTATGATATGGGTTTTAACCACTAGTCAGTATATTCCAACGAAAAAAGCAACTGGATCCAGAATCACAAGGCCTCAGTTCTCATTTCCATTCTTTCCTCTTAGTTTGAACCATATAAATTGGCCATTTATTATAAGTCAGAAATGGTTGCATACTTGCCGTTTCATGTGGATTGTGGTACTGACTCAATGGTGATTTCGGTGAGATTCCATTTCCTTCTCCATTGATGAACTTAGATCACAACACTCATTCATTGATTAAAGTTAGCATAAGCCTGGTGTGTAGCATGCACTGCTTTAGGTGATGAGTGTAGTGGGGAACACGACAATGTTCCCTTCCTTGTGGGTGTCTATTCAGTAAGGGAGACATCACAAACAAACCTATGAATAATGGAATTTTTATGTTGTAGTAGCTAGTGAATACATGATCTGTAAGGTTCGCTTCAGCTCTAAAATGATAACGTATTGTGTTATTTTGTAACACATTGTAGGGTTTTTTTCTCTGTTGAGTCAATTGAACACAAGCTATAGCTGCACTTAGCTGGAACTGAACCACCCCTAAGATATTCAGCAGGACCCATGGCTTCCCCAAGCAAAATCAAGATTACACGAATAAGAAGGAAGACGGGACGGATACTGACTAGAGAACTAGCAGCATCTACCACCGGCATGAAGGAACCTCGCCAAGAAATCAGAACCTGGACAACGGTGGGACAAAAATCTCAAGAAAATCAGTACTGAGAGGAAACTTGGGCATGAATCCCATTCTATAGCATATACTGTTTGACATGCGGATTATTTTTAATTCCCTTTCCAAGCTCTACCTCCAAGGGCTCTCTTTGGTGAAGTAATACTTTTTATTATTTATTAAATTAAAACTCAACAACCCAAGAGCTTCGTTGGAATAAATTTTGTAGCACCTCATTTATCGTAACTGTTCTTTTAAAATTGCTTCCACATAAGATTTAAGGAGATATAAAAACCCGAATTGCACACAAAAATGCTGTTGAATTTATGTATGTTTTACTGTGTGTATTCTCAAACACAAAAAATTCATTAAATTATAAAATACAGCATATAAATAAACAAAACCAATTGATGACAGAA